CATGACGTTTATATTAAAATTATTCACTGTTTTACAAGGATTCCAGCAACGCCAGCAGATGGGGGGGGGGATAGAGAGGGTGGGAGTGAGTGAGGGGGCGTGGGGGAGGGGAGGTAGTACATTTGACAGTTGGCACAGGCCCAGGTCTAACGCGTGTATATTTATCAATTCTTAGGTGACTAAGCTTCTCTCTTATATAAAGCCAGTGAAATGACCTGGGTGAATATAATTAACATAGCTGGGATTCTTGTAACATGATGATTAATTTGAATATAAACATGCTATAATTTGCACTAGACAAAACAATTCTAGTACCGTAATCAAATTAGTACATGTGCACTCCAGCTTTGCACTAAGAAATCTATGTAAATCTACCCAAAAATACAGTTGAAATTATTGGCTGTATTGCAAGGATTCCAGCAATGCAAATTATAATCTCCTAACTTTAGTCTGAGATATTATATAAGATAAAAACTGTAAGCCTAAAAGCCTGGCTGGGGGGGAGGGGCGCTGATGGAAACAGCCGCGCCACCCAGCCAGGGGTTGGGGGTGGGGGGGGAGGGGTGGGGGGTTGAGGTGATAAGTTTGAGCAGAAGGTCTCTGTGTGTTTATTTAACAGTCCTACTAAGCTTCTCTCATTTTAAAATGCCAGTGAAATGACCTGGGAGAATATAATTAACATAGCTGGGATCCTTGTAAGATACTGATTTATTTGAATATAAACATGTTGTAATTCGCACTAGACATAACAATTTTAGTACCGTAATCAAATTAGTACATGTGCAGTCTAGCTTTGCACTAATTTATTTTATGTTTCTTTTAGTATGGTGTGTGAATGTAAATGGGTGAAAATAAATGAAGAAATTTATGTAAATCTACCCAAAAATACAGTTGAAAAACTTTTTATAAAATGTACAATGTACTACAGTATTGTAAACTAATGTACTATATTTTTTATAGCTAGAGCAAAATATATGACGTTTATATTAAAATTAATCTCTGTCTTGCAAGGATTTCAGCAATGCAAATTATATTATCCTAACTTTAGTCTGAGATATTATATAAAATAAACATAAAGAAATTACCAGGGTGGGAAGAGGGGGCGGGAGGTGAGGTGACAGAATGTCTGGCGTTTGTTTGTTCATTTATTTGAGATAAGATTTGACAGTTGGCGCTGAAGGCCTGCCTGCGTGTTTATTTATCATTACTTAAGAGTGACTAAGCTCTTCTCATAATTTTCCACCCAAATGACCTGGGTGAATATAACTTACATTGGAGGGATTCTTGTAAGATAGTAATTTATTTGAATGGGTTTTTTTTCAATTTAAATTTTAATTGTTTATTCCTTGATAGAGGAAGCGGGATCCTAGTGCTGTCACTTGGCACCCCTGTACCATAACACCAGAAGCAACTGGCCAGTGTCACAAGTATATACAGTCATCCCTTGGTTATCGCGCCTAATTGGGACCCCGCCGATAACGAAAGTACAGAACCTATGGGATTTATTCTAATTGGTTCAGACACCCATTTTATGACCATTTAGACCCACTAAATATATATATAATGTTATGGTAAATATCATAAACACACATAGGCATGGCTAGGTTTATTACAAAGTGATGAAAAGGGTATGCTTAATACTGTAGTCCACAAAACATGTAGCTATGCTTTTTTTATTTGGTCCCCGTCATACAAGTCCGTTTTCTCTCACATCAGGACGCCTGAGTCCTCCGTTTTCTCTCTTAATCTTAGAGTGCACCAGAAGCTTTACTATTTTTAGTTATGCCACAGAATTTGAAATTGCAACCCCAATTGCAACTGGGGGTGCAATTGTTGAGGCAAGTAGATATGTCTGATTACAGCAAATGTGTTATTGTCAATTTGTAGGTGAAAGATTTTATCCTCAATAGATGTAGGTTAACATTTCACCTGTAGGCAAATGCTTAGAAAAGCGTAAGTAAGGAAGCATATTCCTTTAACACATAATATCTGACCAGTATGGGGAGGATCATCATGTCTCCATCAGGGGGTCGTGGAGTGATGGTCCAGCAGGCGTCGCGTGTTTTTTTTGGGGGTAGGGATGGGGGATGGGGGGTTGGGGGCCACGGATGTATATGTGATCGGACGTTAACCGGCGCATGATTGTATACCTAAAATGGTTAAATTATTTTATTTGTGAATGATGTACTGAAATACATGTACAGTATAGCAGTGTTCCTATAGTGCACTTAAGGAAAAGCACAAAAGCACAGCAGTGTGACTGGACCCGACCTAACCTGACCGGGACTTTCTCAGCAAAACATTCAAGTCATCAGTGCAATAAGTGATTATCATACAGTGCTCCGATAGTGCACCCCAAGGAAAAGTCAGACAGTGGGCACTTTATCGGTCACCTTTAAAGTGCCAGTGACAAGGACCACCGCGGTGTTTACATATATCGTGAAAACTGTGTCGGCGACCCCAAGCACCAGGGACAAAGACCCACGGTCTTTACGACTGACAAATATTAAGTTAGTATTATGTGGGGATTTTAATGAAATTGACACCACTGATATCCAGGACCAGCTATCACTATCACAAGTTGTGACCTTCCCCACACACGGTCAAAATACCCTTGACCTTATCTTAAATGACTTAGCAGACCAGTACCAACCACCTCAACCAATGCCTCCTATCGGGTGTAGCACACACTTATCAGTGCTCTGGTCCCCAGCTGCCACTCCCACTCAAGTACAGAGACCCTACATCAAGACCTACAGGCCGATTACTGACTCTGCAGTGCGCCTCTTCGGGCAGTGGATAGTTCACCATCCCTGGACTGAAGTACTTAGCGTGGATGACGTGGAAACCAAATGGATAAATTATACCAACACCACCACGGAAGCTCACCACCACTTCTTCCCCGAGAAGTCCGTCAGATCTCACCCAGCTGACTTGCCCTGGATCACACCTCGGATCAAAAGACTTATGCAACAGAGAGACAGAGCCTTTCATCTCAATGACCACATCCGCTACAGGTCCCTTCGCAACCGAGTCATCCGCGAAATACGCACTGCAAAGAAGTCCCACTACCCAACCAAATTACAACACCTGAAGCAGACCAACATCAGTCAATGGTATGGTAAGCTTAAAGAACTCTGTGGACTAAACAATAAGACACACCCCCTCCCCTTCCTTAGCCATCTCACTAATGTTGACGCAGCTGAGCAAACAAATAACCATTTCGCTACTATATGCCAGACGCTCCCCCGGCTTGACACAACCACTCTCCCTGCTTACCTACCAGCCCCCCTTCCCACTGACTTAGTAGAAGAATTTGAAGTAGCAAAACGCCTGGACAAACTAAAATTAAAACGCTCTACCACCCCCATTGACTTACCAATGAAACTCTTCAAGGAGTTCTCCCCGGAGCTTGCTAAACCCTATGCTCCATCATCAATGCTCTCTCAGTCAAACCAGATGCCCAGCTGACTGGAAGACCTCTTATGTATCACCAGTGCCCAAGTCAACCAGCCCACAATCCTTAAATCAGCTACGACCTCAATCACCCCAATACCCAGCCTAATCTGTGAAAAGTTTTGTGTTCGACTGGGCTTATGCTGATATTGCAGGAGTCGTAGACCCTCAGCAATTTAAGTAACATGAAACTTCCCTTCCACCACTCACTGTCTTTGTCAGCCGACATATACCACCATCTCGAGAAACGAAAAAAGTCTGTAGCTGTCGCCTTCATTGATTTCACTAAAGCATTCAACCTAGTCGACCACAATATAATCATCAACAAAGCTATTGACCTCGGCTTCGGAGAAGTCTTATACCATGGCTTACAGACTTCCTCAGTGACCGACGCCAAGCTGTACGCTTCCGAGGGGCTGTCTCCACCTTTCAGTCATTCACCTGTGGCGTCCCCCAAGGCACCAAGATGGGACCACTCTGCTTCCTTATGCTCATCAATGATGCCCTAAGAGAAACCCCTGTTCGCTGGAAATATGTCGACGACTCCACCATTGGGATCAAAGGCCAACAATTTGCCTCCAACTATATCATTTCTTCAGGATTTATTGAACAGTCTCCCAAAACTACCACCAACAACCATGTCACCATCAACCATACCAAGACCATACAGGTAACATCAACCTCCTCCGACATTGTCCCACCTCCATTACTCTAGGTCCTAACACACCCAGGTTGTAGATTCCACGGCTTCCTCAAGGCCACCATAGACAACAACCAAATTGGAAACCACACGCCAGTGAAGCTGTCAACCTCCGTTTCCGCCCACCTCCTCCGCCGACTAAGTCCTCGGAGTTCCTGCACCCGAAGCTCCTCAGTGCGTTTACACAACATTCATACCCTGCTTCACTCTATGCCCCCACCTGGTCTTCCTCCCTAAATGCCACACAACGTAAACACCTAGAAAAAGTGCAAAAGAGGGCATGCAAGATTATTCTCTCCCCTTCCTACTCCACATATCAAGAAGCACTCAACACACTTACCCTTTCGACTCTCACTGACCATCACCACGACCTCATCTGCAAATTTGGTAAGAAGCTTCTACACCATCCTCGACACCGGCTCCTACTACCACCTGAGATCCCTAGCCCGAGAATTGCTGTTCGAAACCACAACTGCATCCAGCCCATACGTGCACAAACTGATCGCTATAAGAACAGCCCAGTCCCAACCATTGTAAAAATTATCAATAACTTGTAATAAACCAGTGTATTCACTCCCAGTAAACACTACTCCTTGCACTGTCACTATGTTGAAATGAACCTTAGTTTGAGCTTTTCCCCATCTAGTTATTATATATCTTATTTGTATCACTTATATTACTTGTATATTATTTGTAATTCGAAACCCATTCCCCAAATATGTAACTGTATATTTTCAGCCTTCTGGCTGCCAAGCTCTTTCAATAAACCGTTAATTATTATTATCATTATTATAAACTGTAGGTGTGGACAAAATTGTTTTCATAAAATTTATTTGACACTCACCTTTTTCTTCTGTGGAGTAAGAGAGATCATGTCTAGTAAGGATCACGACTGAAGCTGGATTCCCTTTTTGAATAAGAATACTCTCGACCTGAATTCACACCAGGAGAATGCCTGCAGAAGAGATAGTGCTTTTTTTTTTTGCATAACATATTTATGTACCATTAACTATTTTAAAGAAATACCCCTGTATCACAATTTTACGGTTATTTTCCAGGCTTACCCCACGTACCTGTAAATAAAAAAATATCTTCTTACCTTCTAGGTGGGCGTGAGTAATCATCTTTGTCTCTGTCATATCCTTGATTATGTTCTCTGCTTCCCCCTGTGTCATCTTGGCCATAACTGTGGTCTTTTTCCTCTCGGCCATGGCCACTACCTCTGTCATCTTGATCTCGGCCATAGCCACCATCTCTGTCATCTTGATCTCGACCATAGCCACCATCTCTGTCATCTCGATCTCGACCATAGCCACCTCCTCTGTCATCTCGATCTCGACCATAGCCGCCACCTCCTCTGTCATCTTGATCTCGACCATGGCCACCACCTCTGTCATAACCCTGTCCCTTTCCTCTGTCATCTCGTCCATAGCCTCCTCTTCCTCTGTCATCTCGACCATAGCCTCCTCTTCCTCTGTCATTTCGACCATAGCCTCCTCCTTCTCCTTTGTCATCTCGACTATAACCTCCTCCTTCTCCTTTGTCATCTCGACTATAACCTCCTCCTTCTCTGTCATCACGACTATAGCCTCTATCATCTCGACCATATGCACCACCTCTGTCACTTCGACCATATGCACCACCTCTGTCATTTCGACCATAGCTGTTTCTGTCATCTCTACCATAAGTTCCTCTGCCCCTTCCATCCCATCCTCTGCCTCTATTATTCCTTGACTCAAAGTCCTTGCGATAAGCCTGTAAGAAGAAATTTTCTCTCATTAACTTCACACAAGTAAACAAAGAGAGGGTTAATAATAATAAAATACATACTGTAGCTCAAAGAGAAAGAAATAGAGAAGACCTCACATTTTAAGAATTTGTATTGGTGGCTAGAAGAGAGAAAGGTAAGTTGAATGACGTTAATGCACTATTACGGGCAGCAGATCAAGTGTTTAACTATCATCTGGTAGAAGCAAAAACAATGGTGAATGGAAAGATCAGAGCAAGACAGCTTTAAAAAAGGAAGAAGAAATTGATAAAAGTGAGCATAAGCGGCCTGGTGGGGCGTGCCAAAGTGAAGACGAAGGACTCGGTGTTAATACTTCCAGTGACAAAGCTCTGCCAATTGGAGGGAGTCAGAGAGTGAGACTCCCGGCAGACAATGGGTTTTGAGCAAGCTCAACAGGGGGAGTGTTACCACCACAGTAGGATAAACTGAGAGAGAGAGAGAGAGAGAGAGAGAGAGAGAGAGAGAGAGAGAGAGAGAGAGAGAGAGAGAGAGAGAGAGAGAGAGAGAGAGAGAGAGAGAGAGAGAGAGAGAGAGAGAGAGAGAGAGAGAGAGAGAGAGAGAGAGAGAGAGAGAGAGAGAGAGAGAGAGAGAGAGAGAGAGAGAGAGAGAGAGAGAGAGAGAGAGAGAGAGAGAGAGAGAGAGAGGAGAGAGAGAGAGAGAGGAGAGAGAGAGAGAGAGAGAGAGAGAGAGAGAGAGAGAGAGAGAGAGAGAGAGAGAGAGAGAGAGAGAGAGAGAGAGAGAGAGAGAGAGAGAGAGAGAGAGAGAGAGAGAGAGAGAGAGAGAGAGAGAGAGAGAGAGAGAGAGAGAGAGAGAGAGAGAGAGAGAGAGAGAGAGAGAGAGAGAGAGAGAGAGAGAGAGAGAGAGAGAGAGAGAGAGAGAGAGAGAGAGAGAGAGAGAGAGAGAGAGAGAGGAGAGAGAGAGAGAGAGAGAGAGAGAGAGAGAGAGAGAGAGAGATGACAACAAACTTTGCCGAGGTGTGAAATGTGAAACAGATGGTCCTCGCCTCGGGCTGACTCGCTCCCTGTGAGGTTCAGAAGATAGTCTCTAGCCGTCCAGTGAGCTAACAAGTCAGGGAGCTAATAAGGCCTACATTAGACCCAAAACACGTAAGTTTTTATATGGTTTAACACCCAACTCTACTGAAATATATTATATGTAGTCGTTAATAGTGAAGGAACGTATGAGTGAATTAATTTTCTCATACGTAACATATGTAATTTGTACTCTGCAGGTTTTGACCGAATAAAGAACAATCGAGTCCTACGTGCAAGGGTCTCATTATCCTAAAGTCGCTCATTGGGCGGTTACACATATAAAGCAAGCATAATAAGCATTAAACAAGGAATGTGAAGCATAAAATGAGACTGTTATTTACCTGTGTTGAGGATGGCAAGTTCAAGTCTCTACCAATCTTTGCTGGTCCGTCACCACTCTTATTATACCTTTTCACATCACATCAAGCTGCCCCTCTCAGGAGCAGCACAAAAGGAACTATCACTGGGGCATTTAGGCATGATTGCATACCACACAAAGTCGGAGACACATAGCAAATGTAAACAAAAGCAGAGGCAGCACGCAGAGCCCTCTCGTGGCAATAATTCAGACTACGCCACCTCCTGCCAAATTCAAAACAGCTCTGCAACTCCACACCCGATTGTCGGATCTCCAGGGTATCAACAAAACTTGTGGGGGTATTTCCCCTCTCTGTAATCATCAGTTACGTGAATTTGGCGGTTAATGGAATGTCGGTTTTCAGGGTATACTTGTACAATATTTTACAACATTTAGATCCTGCAGCCATCAAAGTCAGTAGTCCCATACAAAAAAATTACAAGCAAATATATCAGTCAATTAGACTTCATTCTGCAGTTGGCCAAAGAACTCAAGAGAGTAACTTACCACATGCCAGGACATCCAGAATCATTGCAGCAACGCCTCTAGCAGAAAACAATGACAATGATGACAACACTCAAGTTGCCCACTAAAGTAAAAGAGGCATCAATGCCCAGCCTCAAAGTGCAGTAATAATAAAACAATGGACATTTGTTATGTATGTCAAAGAACAGTGAGTGGCAAATGTATCAGCAAGGTTGTAAAACACTGTTTTGATCACTGAACCTTGAAGGGAATTTCCCCTATATATTTGTGTATAGTTAAGATGCTAGAAGCATATACAGTATACTGTATTTATATATTTTTTATGAGTCTCATATAATTACTTTCAGAATGCTTTTTCTTTTTTTTGGGGGGTGACCACAACAAATTCTTTTGAAAATTAAACACAAAATAAAATACAGTATGTTGCAACAAAAAGTGGTGTATAAATGTCTACATGTTCTTAAATATTCTTTTTCAGATTGATCATCAAATTAAACTCCTCTAAACATGGTGAGTAATTTTTCCTAAATAAGTCAAAATGACAGTGACAGCCATTCTAGGGTACAGTATAAGAGTAGCCAGCCATCCTTGCATAAAAAGTCTACAGATAACATGCTCAAAATCAGATCATATACTTGCTTCTTTTTTTTCTTCAAATTCCTTCCTTCTTTCTTCATATTTTATCTCTCTTCTCTTCTCTACCCACTTCTGAAACTCTTCATAATCTGGCAAATCCTCCCTCTTCTTCCCCTCTGTACAGGTTGCACCCCATGTCTCAAAATGTTGAACACCTGGCAAGGAAACAATGGTTATAGACATCATTACAACCATAGGCATCAATTTACCTTTTATGTACTGTACATACTGTATATAGGTTTATCTTGAGGGCTATTTCTAGCCAAACAGATTAATTTATCACCAAGCAACTGGGTCAATTACCTGATCAGATAGGTCATTACTGAATTAATCCTGCCAACAAACATAACCAATATACACTACCTTAAATCAGTGGTTCTCAACATTTTAAAATTACAAACCACTTACCTGTCTCTTGTATAACACTACATATAAAATCTTTTTGAGATATTAAAAAATACCTTCAATACTGAAACCACATATGATTTGTACAGCTTTCATATATGGTACCACAAAATAATGTAAAGCAAAATCACTGGTTGGAAACCACTGTCTAAGACTTACATCAGGGGTGGGCAAAGTACGGCCCGCGGGCCACATTTAGCCCGCCAAATTATTTCTGTGGCCCGCCACTGCATTTGGCAATCATAAAAAAAAAAATTCTTATTAATTACAGAAAGGACAATTTTGGAAGTTGGGTGGACATAGCAGCAATACTGGCTCGTCGCTGTTAACCTGTGGCCCGCAAAGTGTGCCACCATTCAGGAAGTGGCCTGCCATCGAAAATAATTGCCCACCCCTGACTTACATGATCAGGACCATTTTAAAATTCATATCATGATCTTTTTTAAGGCCTCTACTGATCTACTAGCATGCTGTCAACATCATGAAAGTTTAGGGCCTCTCCTACCATCCATTTCTACATTGAATACAATTTTTACCCACTCATTTTCAATTCATCCATACCACCTCAGTAAACCATCATCAGCTCTCAATTTGACATACCATTTGGATCTCCTCATAATATTTTTTTTATTCCTTGTATGCTAATCATCTGAAATACAGCCCTCAGGCACCTCATTTCCACTGCCTCCAACTTACCTTTTTCTCTTGCATCCAGTGTCCACACTTCACACCCATACAGTAAAACTGGCCAAACTAGTCTCTTATAAACCACCGCCTTTACCTTGTTTGACACATTTACCCCCTTTCTTCAGTTTCTTAAAGCACCAAATACTCTCTTTCTCCTCATTTCTTCTATGATTCATCATTCATTGTGCCAACCATTGGCATATTCACTCCTAGATACCAGAAACACCACACTTCCTTAATTTGTTCCTATTAATTGTTAAGTTTCACATACAGTACTGTATTGCACACTTTCCTAAAGCCATTCACTATTATTTGCAGATTTCCTTGTGAGTCACACATGAGTACAGAGTCCTACACAAACAGCTTAGGTGTTATAATAAACACCCGAGTCATTAAAGAATTGGAAGTACAGTACTAGTGAGGCAGTAGATGTTATGATTACATGTTTAGTACCTTGTGTCCTTGTGAACTCTGTGGGGTTCCTGGTGCCATTAGGAAGATTTATGAGATGTTCTACTTCATAATGAAATGTGATCAGTCAATTATGCATAGTGTTGATACAGCTGGGACTAACTATGAGCACTTGTGAAGGTAGATGAAAGGATGAAAGACTAACATATGACCCTTGTATCCATGATGTCCCTTTTTCCCCAGGTTTAGTGGAATTATCTTTGTCTGGTGGTGGATGTTATGTCATATTTTGATTGTATTGTACTGTAATGGATTGTTTCTGGCCAATACAGGTGTTTGTTCTGGCATGTCTTGTTTTGAGGCAACTGATAGCTCTGGTTCTTGTATATGGTGACTAGAGCGAGCTGAAATTTAGTAAGGAGGTGCAGGTAGCCTAGGGGATGGTTATGCTCCATCTTCTGTCCCTCCACAAAGGGTGGGTCAGACCCTACCAAGAATCCCCACCAGCAGGTCGGTCCATAGGTTTGAAGATAAAAAGCTGAAATTTAGTAGGGAGGTGCAGATGGTCATGCACTCTCCTGACCACCTGTGGGTGCGATGCTTTTTCACAGTTTTGAAGATAGAGCTGAAATTTGGTAGAGAGGTATGAATGGCCGAGGAGATGTTGTGTACAGTGTACTATCTCTTGTCTCTCCCCTCTGGCAAAGCCAGGTAACTCAACTGATATGTAATCTATAAATTTTAGGGGTTTAGAACACTGCATGGAAGGGGTTATGGCCTTAGTAGGTCCAGGTTTCATCTGTGGTACCTCACTTGTCTGGAACTAGAGTACAGCATGCCCTGACAATTTGTGGATGACACCCCAGATGTACCCAAGAATGTCTAAGGGTAGTTTTAAAGTTGATGACATTTTCGCAGCTGGGACAGGGAGCCATTCGTTCTAGAGACAGTAGTTTCTTTTACTTCTATTGTCTATATATGTGTGTGTGTACACACACACACACACATATACATACATATACAATACAGGTAAAAGAAATATTTGTCCTAAGGGCAAACACAAAGGGAATATACATTTTTAATTAGTACCAACATTTGATGACTGTTAGTTCATGAACCCATCCCCACGAATTTATAAGAGTGTTGTATTATTTCACAATCTCAATCAAGATAATCTTCGCTAATTCAATGACCTGTATCAACTTAATATTTTCAAATTGCTAAAAGTAGTAGAGGAGTTGCTGGGGTTGCCATACCACCACTAACCAAATATTTTATCAAAAGATAAGGCACCCATGGAAAGTATACCAATATATTTATTAGTTGTATGTTAGCCAGTTTTGCAGAGCATGAAAAGCTGCAAACAATAAATAATAATAATAATAATAATAATAATAATAATAATAATAATAATACAGGTTGTACCTCTCTAGTCCAGCATTCTGTGGTCCGGAAACTCCCGTGGTTCGGCATGATTTTAGTCTGTCCAATAGATAGATAGGCAGCTATTTTTTTTTAACTTATCTGAATTATTATTATTATTACAGGAGTATTAAATTTTTACCCCTCAGGCCCCAGTGACCTATTCGGCTAATCCCCATAAAAAAAAACAACAAAGTTGGGGGAAATTAATATTGGTGATCTTGTTCCTCTTCTTAAATCTCTGCAACCACCCAGTGGAAGCATTAAAGGGTTTGGGCTCTGCAATTCCCATCTTACGTGACACTGCAGCATACAGTTCACGTGCGTACTCCTTAACTGAGCGCGTGTCCACCGCCATGTTCTGTCGCGCCTGACGAACCAAGTAGCTCACAAGTAATTTTTCCGTTTTGAGAAGCACCTGCTTGTGGCAGTACTTGATCATAGAAGCACCTGTAGGTTTTGTGATGTTCATGTGCTCCTTTATCTTGGCTGCATCCTTCTTAATTGTCCTGATAGTTGTTTCGTTAACACCATGCTGGCGCGCGAGATCAACCTGTCTTGTTCCTTTCTCCAACTCTTGTATGATCTTGTACTTAATTTCATATCTTAAGGAACATCGTATCATCTTTGGCTTAGGGCGGTTGAGTCCAGGTAATGCAAGGTTTCTTTGTGGTGGTGGTGGTCCGGTGGAAGCCATTCTTATGGAACAATGGATTCCTATATACACGGTGTAGCCGGGAGAGGTGTAACCGATGCGGGTAGGTCAAGGGGCTTGAACGCTCCCATGGCGGGGCACGTCATAGTACATTAAACCAATCACAGCTAGCGGGGAGGGAGGTAAGGGTGCTTGGCCCAATCACAGTCCGATACGTCATATGACGTCACCGATAACGCAACAAAGACATACACTGCGCAATCTACTTGCGCCGCTTACCCAACATGGCGGGAGAGGGTGGGAGGTTTGGATCCAAAAATGGCGCGGCGCGAGAGGACCGCCAGCCGCTCTCTGCGTAAAAGGGTACACACACCGCGTAAAGTGAGCATTCCGTGTTTGGCAGGGCACCGCGTAAACGTGGAAACGCATAAAGTGAAACCGCGTAAAGCGAGGGTTCACTGTAGATGGGATGGTGCTATTCTTATATCTATCGGTGCGGGCTCTTATGGGCTGAATTTTGTTGTAGTGGCGGACTGTGCGAGGTGGGTGGGGGGCAGCCAGTAGCAGGTGGCGGCGATGACGAGGGTGGTGCATTAGTTGGCTGCCAAACCTTTCCAGTGCTTAGTGGTGGAGGTCACTGAGGGATGGCATTTCCAGGGTGGAGAGAGCGTTGGTGTAGCCGGAGCATGATTCTACAGGCCCTTTTCTGTACCTTCTCTAGCTGACCTTGTTGGGTGGAGTTGAGAGAAGACGACCAGGCTGGTGACGCATCGCCTCGCACCCAAAAACCTCATTTTAATTAGTATCCCCTTGGCCATGGGTTAGCCAAGACGTCCCCATCCTCTCCCTCCTGAAGGGAGCGGGACACCACACAGAGTCCTCCACCGCCACTCCGTCCTGAGGGCCGTCGTCGACACGAGATTAAGCGTGTTAACCTTGGTTGCTATCCCCGTGGAAATATCACGTGTGGATGCCTGGTTGCAACAAGAGCAATCCAGGCTGGCCTATCAAACCTACAGTAAATGGTTAATCAATTCACGCGTCGAGTTCTCCTGCATGACACCCGTCTACAGTGACCGTGATCGACACGAGACTAAGTGTGTTAACCTATGTTTGTTATTCTCGTGGAAATATCTTGTGTGGAAGCCTGGTTGTGACAAAAGCAATCCAGGCTGGTCTATTGCACCTAAGTGGTAAATTCAAGTTACGCTTACCAGTTTTCCTTGCTGCGACAACTGTCTACAGTGACTGTCAGTGATGCGAGACTATGTGTGGTAACCCAAAAGGACCTTTTTGTTGCTATTACCAGTGGAAAGAATTTCTTGTGCGGAAGCCTGGTTGCAACAATAGCAATCCAGGCTGGCAGTAAATGTATCACCTGAAGAATTAAGGCTCTGTTAAGTTATACCCATAGTAGGGTGATCACATGTGTCCCCAAGATGAAAATTCCCTCTTTCAGAAGAAGAATTTTATTACAGCATAAACGTGAGTGACTCATATATCCATGCAAATTGTAAATCATTGTACGGAAGTTTGACAAATAAATGTAAGTGCAATTATCTGCCCATATCTGTG